GCAATTTGCAACATATTCGGTTTAATTAAATAAAAAAGCGTCAACGGTCAGTGCCCGAACTCGCTTGGCCTCTGCCTATTTATTCCGCCCCCAAACCATTATTTCTCACGTCCTCACCCGCCCTTCTTCTCTCCGTGCCCTAACGGATTCAACCGGCTCCCTCACTAATATCTCACTCTCACTTTAACACCATAACTAATCGGAAGCTTTTCCTCATGCTTAGAACCTTACTCAGTTAATCGAAATCGATTTTTCATCAGCTTGAGGAAAGGGGAAAGCCAGGTAGCTTCGTCGGTGGTGGCTCTACGCCCACCTCTGCCGCCGGCGAGCAAATTGGCGACCCCACGGTGCCGCCAGAACCTTTCTACCCGGTAAAATTCGCAAGCTGCGAGCCTTTTATTTGGTGATCCGCTGCTGCCATTGGGAATCTTATATCGGTATGGTTATATTTGGTGTGTGTGTTCTTTTTTTTTTTTTTTNCCTGGTGAAATTGAATGCTTAGGTAGTTGTTCTCGTCGAATTAGTTTGATCGTATTAGTTGTTTTTTCATGTATATGTTGTCGGCATAGACCTCGTCAGCCTGGAAATGAGAGTTTCAGCTGGATGAGCTTGAGTTTGGAGGGTCTGATTTTGTCTTCGTATTGAGTTTAGAAAGTTGCTGATAATTCTTAGATGTGTTGATGGTTGTCTAGTGATGCGTGTGAATTTTATGAGCAGATGTTGAAATGGCGAAGGCTAAAAAGGGAAAAAAGGAAGATCAGAGAGGTGGAGATAACAGTAACACAGAGGCGGTTGTCAAGCACCAGAAGCTCTGCCTGTCCATCGATATGGAAAACCGTCGTATCTACGGGTCTGTTCTTTGTTTCAATGCCTCTCCCATTTATTTTTGTTTAAATTTTGAAAATTTGTATTATTAATATATATATTTATATATGCGACGTACTTAAATTTCAATTGTGCTAATTATTAAACTTTGGATTTTTCTCCAATTCTCCACGATGATTTCACCATATGCGTTTTGCATATAGCTCATTTCACCTTGACTAAGTAAAGTAAAGATAGGCAACTTTAGGGAGGAGAATGGGTATGATAGACATACAAGGTGGCTTGGTTTCGGAATTTGTTTGTAGGGTTTTAGATTTGGCACACTAAATGTTATGATATACTCAATTTTGGGGGGTTTGATAGATGGGCGTTGGTATATCTCATATATCACATAAAACCGACCATCAATAGTAATGATGGCGAATTTTTTTCACTAACCAACTTCCACAACGATGATCATTACTTTCATTACCATTCCCTACTACTATTGTTTTCATAGCCACTCCCATTACCATTAAAAATATAAGGACCCCCTATAAAGCACTGCAAAATAAGAAGCATAAGCCACATTTTATAACTTGTCTTCTTAGCCAGTTTGGTTAACTTATAGTTATATTTTTTTTCAATTGAATGTTAGCTTCTATATCTAAAATGCTAGCTCTAAAATACTATTTTATGGCCACATTTTATAACTTGTCTTCTTAGTCAGTTTGATTAACTTATAGTTATTTTTTTATTTTTTTCAATTGAATGTTAGCTTCCTTAGCTAAACTACTATTTGTGTTTG